AATCCTGCGAGAGGAGGAAGTATCTGCATGATGATGTCACTTAGATTTATCTCCGTGCTCGTTTAAAAATGAAACGCTTTAAGTCGTCCAGGAGCAGCCGCGGGCCCGACTGGATGCTGAAAGCAAGCTGCAGTCCCACCAATGTCCACTAGAGGGCAACACCAATGTACATTTTATCAGCGCTTATAGTTTGCATTATTAGGGGCGTGGCCTCTTTGACTGGGAGGTGTATGGAAGCGGTTGGAGCTGCTAGCTATCTGCTAGCTATCTGCTAGCTATCTATCTGCTAGCTATCTGCTAGCTGAGCTGGACATCTGGGCTGTGTTTGGGCTGTTGGAGAGTTTGTAACGACATCATGTGACCGCTGTGAGGTCACTGTACTGAGCGTGCAAGAAGGCGGCACTCTGGTTTTGTTGAGTGAAAGTTGAGATGATTGGATGTTGCTGAGCACCAATGAGCAGGTACTCTGTGTCTGCGTGATACGGTGCGCTAACCAAAGCAGCTAACGTTACCTGAAGTTTGAGCATGCTAACAGCTGACTAAAACAACAAGTTGGTAGAAGCTGAAATGCTTAAAGTGAGACGAAAGGAGCCGTCGCACAGCCGAGGACGATGGTGGATCCTCGATGAGATGGTGCTAATGTAAAGCAACCGTGTGGAGCTGCAGCGAGATTGTTTCCACGGTACTAAGCACGCTATTTGCCATAATAAGTGGCTGTGTTTCAGATGCCCCGTCGATGCTTCATCTACAGTGAGGCGCTGCTATCTGAACCAACAGCTCTCTGACTGCAGTGATAACGTTGACGCCTCTCCTCTGATCGATAATTGGCGGGAGCTCTTTATTGATCCGTGAGCTGCCGTGGCGACTCGGTCGGAGACCTGCAGCACGAAGTCAGAGTTCCTCTAATTACCGACGCAGTCTCTGTCTCATCTGGGTCGTCTCTCTGCGTGACGGCGAATTGTCTCGTATCCGATTGATGATCGGAGCAGAGTCATGCGGAGCGATTGCTGTTTGTGGGACGCGGCGCTCGTAATTACTTTCACTGAGGTTTGTTTGCACAGATCAAACTCGTTTCCCTCAGATGCAAATGTCCTTCGTGTGTTAGAAGAGCGTCCTCGTGCTCAGGGTGGTGTTCAGGTCAGGAAACAGCTGCTCACAGAGAATAGAAACACAAAACCATGAGAATAATCACACCAATCACTGAAGCACAGTGTTGTGACTGCACTCTGTGGCTGCAGGACAAACACATTTAAAACCTTTATTTCTGGAGTTTTCTTTAAAATGAAACTATCATAAAACTGTGGTTTCCTCCTCTCTGCATAGAAACTTTGACTTTGTTTTTATGTGTTCGAGGAAATATCCCAAACAAATCCAGAGTGAAGTGTACAGACTCTTCTTCACTCCCATCCTCCTCCTCAGGTGAGCTCATTCATGTCATTCATTTTTTGGAAACACACTGCGTGTTTTTATGTCTCTCCCACGGTGAACCTTTCCTCGTGTCCCTGACAGCGGCGTGCGTCTGTGCAGAGTAAGAGGACGCAGATCTGTTCCCAGTTGATGTTTCAGCCTCCAGCATCTGTCGCAGGACAAACCGAGCATGCGTTTGACTGCTGACGGTTTGCCATCATGAGCTCAGTCTTTGAATTACCAAAACACTTTCCTGCCGTCCTTTTCATTTCCCGACCACCGAATCAGGAGCCCTGAAAATCTGGTTACGGCCGAGTGTGTTGGAGTGGAACTGAATGAGATTTTGCAGCAGCTGAAGAGAGAAGTGCAGCAGAAAGGAAACATTCACGCACCTGAGATGGTCAGAAACAAACTGTGTGACGCTCTGTCAGTACGCAGGCTTTTCTTGCTACCAGTTAATAAGCAGTGGTCAGAGAATGCTTTGCTCAAAGGCAGCTGATCAGTACAAACCTGTGCTGAGAAAAACAGCAACTTTACCTCTTTTCAACTCTCAAAAAGCCTGGTGCAGACCCCAATAACGTTGATAATCTTCGCCCTATATCAAATCTCCCCTTTATTTCAAAAATTCTTGAAAAAGTTGTCGCCGCCCAGCTTCATTTACATCTCAATGACCATGATCTCCATGAACAATTTCAATCTAGTTCCCAATCATAGCACAGAAACTGCTCTGTTAAGGATTACCAATGACCTTCTGATGGCAGCTGATTCTGGTCTCCTATCCATCCTCATCCTTCTTGATCTTAGTGCGGCGTTTGATACCATTTCTCACAATATTCTCCTGAACTGGTTAGCATCCATTGGTATTAGTCATACCCCCCTTGCCTGGTTTACCTCCTATCTCTCAGACCGCACTCAGTTTATCCAACTTAAATCCCAGTCTTCAACTCTCTATCCTGTTTCTGCTGGTGTGCCCCAGGGTTCAGTAT